AACAAATAATGGACGGATATTGCGGATCGAAACATGAAGATAATAAAACTCGGTCTTCAACGGATGCGGAATATGCTGTAACATCGTTTTCCGTAAGTAGGCGCTAGCAATAAACAAATATATTTTTAAATTGTTATTATTATTACTATTGTTTTTCTTTTTATGTGCGAGAGAAATCGTGATTTTACAAACAATCTCAAACGATGGGTGCGGAAAAACGATTGCAGAGAAAAATTAAAAATCAAGCGAAGATAATTATGTAATTATATTATGGTCGCTTACAACAGACGACACGATAGTTGGCCAGCAGTTATAAAATACCAGAGCCGTAGTTATTCTATAGCAGTTACTAAATAGATGCAAATTATAATGATATGTCGTTTTCAGACTTACCTATACATTATCCACAAGACATAAAAAGGAAGTTTTTTTTTTTAACAAGCAACTCATTTTTTTTTTTTTTGTAATTGGAAAATTAAATTCGTTTGTAAAGATTTTTTATCTAATTTGAATGACAATATAAATTTTTAATTGTATTAACAAAATATCTCTCTGAAAACATCGATGTATCAACAATCATTTAAGTTAAAATTAGCGGAGCAATATACAGCCGCGGATCTAAAGTGGGGAAATTTTATACTGTGGACAAAATACGTGTATAATATACAAAATTCAATAATTCCATAATATTATAAGTATTACAGTTTACCGTAAATATTTCTTAACACTATAAACTTTACAGTGTAAAGGAATAAACTTTCAACTAAAAATTCAAAAAAAAAAAAAAGGTAAGTACATTGAAAAGAGAATTTTTTATTTAAGAACAATAAAAAAAATATCAAATATGAAAAGTAATTAAAAATTATAGAGAGAAATCTAATCCTCTTTCGGTTTTTGAAAACATGTCAATATATAGTTGCTATAGAAAAATATAATTTTTATCATCGCTTGACAAATAATATTATGATTTTTTCTTTCGTTTTGTTTCGTGACATTTGGAGGGGAATCGTTCCCATGCCCCCTCTTATCTACGCCTGGCAATAGAGGACGTAGGTACTTCGCAGATGTATTTGTGCATTACTCCGGTCATCTAAACTTTAAATACTTATAATTTTATAAATATACACAGATACGCATGAACCGACTAAGGAGTACTAACCGAGTAAGGATATTTCTTATAAAAAAAATAAATAATAACTATCCGGTACACATTAATACGAGATAAAATCAGACATGCGCGGCTTCTTTAAAGCCTCTTGACGAAACAATCACCATATTGGCCGATATAAATAAATACCCGTTTGCGACGGACACGATATGAATTATGATCGTACACCAGTGCTTCTCAACCTTTTTTGTTGTAGGACCCCTTAAATTTAATGTACAACTGTCAAGGCCCCCTCAATCAAAATCATTAATCATTTATTGTTAATGATATACTGAATTTACATTCACTATTTCACACAAATAAATTACTAAAATGTAAAGAAAATAAATGTTTTTTAATATATTTTTGAAATGTAATCCTATAACCGTATAAAACTTCAAACATATATAAACAAAAAAATAATCGGTAATAACTATAAAGCAACACAAGAATATTCAGTAATAATGTTGATTTGGTTTCAAACAAAGGCTAAGTTAATAATTATAATAATATTAATAATAAAGTATATTTTAGCATAACATATTTATGTCAGGTGTGATATTTGAAACTGAAATACGCAAGTTCTCATCTAAAGACTGTTGTGAAATGCATGATCTGCGTTTGTTGTTTATAATTTTAAGTTGTGAAAATGCAGTTTCACAAATATATGTCGATTACAGGATACTCCTGCTGTCGTCTTGACCAAAACGTAGCTAGTTATTTTTCGTTAAATTCGGTTTCAAGAGTTTTAAACGAAATAAATATTTCACGCCTCCCACGCCAGTTATGGTAACCACGGCCCCCAGGTTGAGAAGCACTGTCGTACACCACAACAGTTTCAGTTCCATTCGGAATCGAACGTGAAATGTATGGAACTAGGACGAACACATTTACATAGATGAACAATAATAATAATTACTGCGCCCGCGAGTCTAAACCTGAACATGCGCAATGAATATTTTGTACAGTTTTAATAGACGCGCAATCGTGCTGGTGAACATTTATTCGCGGACATGTGGAAGGGAAATGAAACGTGTCTCGCCAGTGTTGGCGGAGGTTTTATTGTACAACTTTACGAAAACATTTTAGCACGCGCGTGCAAAAGGCGCGAGGTGTACAGTACGTCGGCGCCATCGCGAATGAATAATTAACGACCGTGGTACAGGTACCCGTAAAAATAATATTGTACCATTATCACTAGCGTTTGACGATTTCCGTGACCGTCCGGCACTGCGGCGCGCCTTAAGAGAGCTGGAGCGCAGTATGTTTTTAAGGGGTAATATTTAGGCATTTTATATCACACGAACAACTGTGTTAGCTAGGGAACGGTCGAGGGGGATTTTATTTATTCAAATTATTCGAAAAGATATCAACAATTTGAAAAATTAAGAAATTTTGATATTTTAATATTTAAGTACACCATTAATTTTTGTTACAATGATAATTTACCACGGCCACGCTTTAGTAGAGTGGTTACAGATTTTAAATTCGTTTTCAAAATTAAAATCCGTCAAACCCAAGTCCCACAGTTTTATCTTGGCCTGTTTTACGTGATTATTGGCAACTGCTCCAATCCCCTTAATGAAATTTCGTAACGCGCGCGCGGACACCGGAAGAAAATACGTATCGTACGTTTAGGAAGACACAGCCTATACTCTTCAATCGACGCGTGTGGTAGTTATGTAATGTTCGTCGAAATCACTTGCTTGGTCAGGTCCAGGGGGGTGTTAAGATTTACTTCGGGGGGGGGGGGGGGGGGGACTCGAATTTTTTCTTTAATTCAGGTTCAAAATCTACAAGTAAAATGTTTGGTAATATTTAAATCAAGCGAATCCTTAATATTTGTGTTTTTTTTTTTTTTTAATCTAATGCCGGATCCACTTAGAATCGACTTTTGTGTAGTTCTCTTTTAACACCTGTCTGTGCTTTGAAAGTTACGCTTGTGTTTTATTTGATTTTTAACTAAGTATGAACACTAAGTATCGTTATAACGTTTTATTATTATTATATTATATATTGTTGTTAAAAAAATTTTAAATGTGAATCTCACATATGATCGATTATTTAAATACGGATTCAGGGGGGAGGGGCGATCGCCTAAAATACGCCACTGGTCTGGTCACATTACCAACGTAACAATCAATTGTTATTAATTAATGTAATTAATTGTTGATTGTACTACGGTGTAATGTTAACCGAGATTGTAAGGTCTGAACAGATTACGGAATTATTATACGACATAAAGATCTGTAAGGTAACTAGGTACGCGTCTAGTTGTTTATCGTCGATAAACAATTACTTTTAGAAAAAAATCACTTTGTTTACGGTTACTTTTTAAATATTTACTAATCGGTGAGAGTGTAGGGAATATAGTGACGTAACTTATTAGTTTTACAATCATGATTTGTTCTTCAGAAATAGAATTCTGTATAGGTTTCACGCACCCTTTTTTTAGACTGTAAACTAAACGCAATACAATTTAGATAGATAATTTTTCGGTTTCTTACAGTAGATAATCAAATTGTGAGAGAAAAAATCATTTTCAATTATGCCAAGCACATATTTAGTTTTAATTTAACTAGACCCATAACACATTGGGAAAATTCATTTACCGATAGTTTCATAAAACATACTAATGGAATAAATCACATTTCCACTGTCCAAGTAATGTTTCAATAATTTACCGATTTAAACCGGGTCGACGAAAGCACAACAGTTTTTCCACAAAAATAAAAAAATAACAATACATAAATTCACTATGTATTTAAAGTACGTATTTTACAACGCTCAACGCTATAATATTTTTAATAATTAATAAGTAATAACCCATTTAACACAACAATATTTGTAAACGCAACTATTTTGGTCAGATTCTGGAGCTCATCAGTAAATTATCAATGTTTAAAGAGTAATTTTGCCAAAAATAAGATAAACCTATACATCAAAAAGCAACTTTATTTAGCAGTTAAATAAATGCAAAAAGTCTCAACTCGTATTAAAAATAGTTTTACAAGAAATTCAGTAAACAATAAATGTAGTTGAAACAATGTATTAATCAACATACATACTTTATCAAGTATAAACCTCGAGGTGAGATCCCTATTATTTTGAAAAACTAAAATATGTTAGATTACTCATTTTACATCAAAACTTCAACACAAAAACTGTTTTGGTTTAATTAGTCAAAGATAACGGCTGATATAAATTTTCTAATACCCATAGTAATCCATACTTAGAATAAATAAATTAATTTTTATGGTTAATAGGATGTGTATACTATTTCTACCACCTTTCTTGATGAAATATACTTAACTAGATTTCTAGGTAAGGATTATTAATAGATGTATATATAAACAAAAAAACAAAAAAAAAGTAATAATCATAATAATAATAATAAAATACAAACAAAATTGAATGAATTATTTTATTTGAATTGAATTACATTTTGAACCATAAATAATATAAACAAAATTGTAGTACCTATTTATACATATATATTTAGGTATACATATATATTTATATTGATTACAATATTTTAAAATATATTTAATCTTAAGAAGTTTTTTTAAATGGTAGTATGTATATAATATATTCAAATATATAAAATGTAAATTATAAGATTTAAATTTTTAAAGCTTTTTAATAAAAAAAATTAATTTAATTCTGTACAGATGTATTAAGTAAAATTAATATTGCAACTGTCATTTAATACATCAATTATGAAATTAAGTCAAATCCAAATATAATTTGTTGGAAGAACCACTTCTTTTTATCAATATTAATATTAAGCAAAACAATAATTTGTAATACATTAATAAAAATAAGATAAAAAAAAATGTCACCATAACATACAAGTATATCAAAATATGTTTCAATTTGTTTTCTATTTTACACAAAACACTATTTATCAAATTACAAGAGGATTATCACAATTTACAATCAGAAGTATAAGGTACAAAAAAAAAAAATTTAAAAATATAAGGTTTAGTATTTTATAACTAAATGGATACTATAATAAAAAAAAAAGGTCGTTGAATAATTGTAATAAATCATACAATAAAAAGGGGCTTTAAAGAAACATTAAACATTCATTTATCCGAAAACCAATTTACAATGACAACAATTCTAAAAATGTAAATTAGCCTAAACCAAAAACTATTTTAGAACATATTTCATCAAAGAAATTATGTTATTAGGAAAATCAAAGTAAAATTGATTTTAAATTGTGACTATCTACTCAGGTTGTTCCATTTCATCCAAAATTAAAATACATAGTCTGGTCCAGCCATGTCAATAGCCCATCTGAATTTATCCCTTTGTGTTTTATTGTATATTTTCTCAATAGGAACATCAAATTTTTTACACCAGGCCACTGATATACGGGGATCCAAATAGTTTAATTTGGACGTACCCAAAGCAATTGTCTTGTTTTCTTCCTTGTCAGTTTCTTGCACTTCCAACTTAGTCAATTGTTCTTTTAATCGTTCCAAAGCTTTCTTCCTTTTTTCTAATTGTGTCTTGGAATGCACACTGCCATCTTTCACATCTCGTTTAGCTTGTTTATATTGCTCTTTAGCTTCTTTAACCTGTGCTCTTTTATTTTGAATTTTTTCTTTTAAATTTCCCATAGACTTTTCATGAGTTTTCGGAACAGCACGTTGATGATTACACAAAATAGCTACTGCACGATTTGCACGATTGTACTGCAAAATTTTCTCAGCTACAGATACATTTGGATCAGTTAATTTTTCTAATTGTTGTTGAAGTGTCCATGAAGCATTGAACGTACGAAAAACTTTAGCAGTAAGTCCATCCATAAGTTCATGTAAATGTTGATTCAATATTGATGTATTTAATCGATCAAATAAATCATCATTACCTTTTTTATTTTCCATGAAAATCTTCAAGTTTTTGAAAACACGTTTTTCTACAGGTACTTCATTGTAATACCTAATGGAATCTTTACCAAGGAAATCAAATACTACTACATATTCTTTGTCATTAAATTCTTCATGTAATTGGATGTGTTCTACACGCAAAGAACAACAACCTACTGTATCAGCTTGATCTTCATCTTTTTCATTTCCAGCTCTCAATGCCAATTTATCAATGAAATACAAAGCTACTGATCTTTGTCTGACATGCATTTCTCGAGATTTCCAATCATTAATATAATTTTCTCTAATCTTATCAATAGATTTTGCCAATCTTCTAGCAGTCTCATATTTTTGCCAATCTTTTTCCCCTTTAAGTTTAGAAGATGGATTTAACATGACATATTTAACTTGGCCTTGGACATTTTCTATCCAACTAGCAAGCCATGTAACACTATGATCATGTCTGACCTCTTTCCATTTATGACCCGGGGGTGGTTTTGGTATATTAGAATCTTTGCTACAATTAATTAAAACATCTTCAGGCATTACTCTTTTTTTTAACATACCCATTTTAGGATGTTCACCTCGTCCTCTGAATAAACCTGGTGGTTCAATCTTGAAATTACCAATTTTTTCTTTATGACCATCAATGGTACAAAACCCATATTCTTTTTGCAAAGCCTCATTGTCTTCTTTAATTTTCTTTTTTTCTTCTTTACTCATAGCTTTACGTTCCTCTGATTTCTTCGTAAAATATACATTCATCTCTTTAAAATTACATAATGAAAGATCAGTTATTAATTCTTTTTCTTTATGTGTCATTGTTTTACGCCAGTCTTTAAGAAAATTTTTGTTAAATACTTCTTTAGTTGTATAATCATGTTCAAGCATTTTCGCATAAAACGTTGCTACTTCTTCTGCAGGCTCTGAAAGAGCAACTACCTTACCATTATAATAAAATTTAACATTGCTTGGTAAAGGTTCATATGCAGGAGCAAAAACTGGTCCTTTATGTTCCAAAAACTTCCATTTAACACCATCGTCTTTCTTTTCCTCTTCCCACCATTTCCATACTTCTTGCGGTTCTTCTTCTTTTTTCTTTTTAGTTGGACTTTTAGTGGGTGATTCTTTTTGTGATGTATTATTTTCTTTTTTTTCTTTATGTTTAGTATCTTTAGATGAATGATTTCTGTCCTTTTCTCTGTGCTTACTCTTATGTTCTTTATCTTTTTTGTGTTTTTTATGACTGCTGTTGTGTTCTTTTTTAATATGCTTTGTTCGGGCGCTCAGAGGAACGTCATCTTCACTACTAGCAGAATGTTTACGTTTTCTATTAGATAAAGGTATATCATCATCAGATAATAGTTTTTCATCCTTGACAGAATAATCATCATCACTTTGTTTCCTCTTGTTGCTAGACAAATAATCATCATCAGAATAGTTTTCTTCTTTAATACTGTGATTTAATTTGTAATCCCTCTTGATTTGGGAATGATAACCAGAATCATAGGGCTCATCTTTGTATTCTCTTTTAATTTCTTTCTTGCTAACGCCATTTTTTTCATGTTCCTATGCAAAAAAAAAAAAAAAAATATAAAAATTAGAAATAAAATTCAAAAAAGAAAATAGGCCCCTTTTATTAAATTATAGTTTTAATACCAAACCATTATTTATATAATAAAAAATTATACATCCATGACTTAAAAAGCAAATGATATAAAATAGAAAACAAAAAAAGTTTAAAATCAATGATTATTAAATAGTGATAAATAAAAAAAGGCCTTGTGTACATTATTCAAAAATGTTACCTTTGATTTATATAAAAACCTCATGTACACCTATTCAACTTGATCGGTGTACAACTGGGTAGTCATGAATCACTCATAAGAAAATTGAGACAATTGTCTGTTGATGTTGAGAAACAAAAATAAAATTACAAAAATATTTAAACAACCAAACACATAATGATGATTAAAACACTAACATTGATCAACTGTTTATATAAAACAAAACCAAAATTAACCACATAAGCCTACACATACAATAATATTAATTATAGTTGAATAGGCGTAGATGAGTTCTGTTAAAAAGTTATTGATTTTAGTCCATTTGATTTACCAACCATGTTTATAATTGAAAAAGACCAACATTTTATCATTTATTTTATTTACAATACATCCCAAAATACTTCCTAAATAAAACATTTATTGTAAAATAAACTTTAGTTATATATAAAATTGCAAATGATAAACGTGATGTTCTTTTGGAGATTTAAAATAAAATATAATATGTAATACTCCAAACAAATGTAGGATGAGAATAAAAATAAATGATAATTATAATAAACACGCCAGTGTTATATTAAAATTAATAGTTATTTATTAAATGTTAGAAAGACACTTATGTTTCATACAATAATATTAACACAAAAAAAAAAAAAAAAAAATAGTTCTATTCTAAAAATATTTACGAAACTAATTAAAAATTAATATTTCATATTAGGAATAAAAGTGAAAAGAATAGCTAGGAACATATAAGTCTAACATGTGAAAACTGACTAGAAAAATTAACATATTTATGTTGAGATCTACAAATTGATAAATGAAAAAAAAAAAAAAAACTAGTATAAAAACTAAAAATAAAAATCACTCTAGCTCATAGTAGTCTTTAATTATTTGGTTTACATTAGAAAACACATCTTTAAAATCATTAATATTTGTATTATATTGGGTATAATGATGTACAAATGCTTTATGTGAAAAAGCTCGCGAGGCTAATTTTACTACATTGTTTAAAACCGATACATTAGTCGAATTATTTGACAAAACACTTAAATATTTGGAACCCATAAAATGCCTTGGTTGAAATAGTTGCAAAAATTTGTTTTCCTCTAAAATACTATTAGAAAAAGTTATATTATTCAACTTTTCAGCAAAATTCAAATTAATTGGATTAGATGTACTACCTCGATATACAACCAAATTTCCAGAAGAAACACAAGGGGATATATTCAAGGAACGTATACTTTGATTTACAATTGCTTCCCATCTCGGAGTTGATTCATAAGAAGAATATTCTTTTCTATAATTTGGAGAAGATAATAACTTTAAAAGTTTATATTTTTGATTGGGCACAAGAGAAAGAAAATAAGGAAATGTTTGATTTTCTACAGGTTGAAATACAGATATCAACTGTTTACTGCCTATTTCATTCAAATCATCAAATAAAACTTTGGCATCTGAATGGCCATCTTGACAAACTTTATGCAAAACTGAATTTTCAAATAAGAAAATACATTCTGTTAAATTATATAGTTTGTTAATAGTGAATGAAATATTATAATTTTGGATAGCATCTTTAGACTGATATGGCATGATGAGAACTAAAATAAATGATATTTTAGGATAATCATGTTTTAATTTTTCAAGAATAAAACAGGCAGATCCTGCACATCCACCTGATGGTGACAATATTATTAAAAAGTATTCAATTTTATCTATTTTATTTATTTCAGTTTTTAACCTACTACAAACGTCTTCAAACATTTCAGGACCTTTTATATAATAGCAATACGACCAGTTATTTGTTGAACCTTCAACAAAATTAAACTCTAATGCATTTTGTCCAAATCCCCATTGACAACTATTATATTGTCTAAGGGCATCACCAATATTTGGATTACCAATATCAATTAAAACAGACCTGGGTTCCAAAAAACCATTTGATTTTAATTCAAAAAAGTTTGATTCACTCATATGTTTATATTCTTTATTTACATTTTTAGAAATAATTGGATCAGGAATGTTATTGTCATTAAAAATTGTAGAATAAAAACTGTGGATAAAGCGTACTCCACAAGTGCCAAAACAAATGGTTAGTACAGACATTTCATTAAATTCATAAATTTAAATATAAGTAAAAAAAAATCTATTAGGAACTAACCCTATCACGCTTTTTTGACTTCTCATGTTTTCGATCACTGGATTCTCGATCTTCTGCAAAAAACCAATAAAGCATAATTAAATTTACAGAAAAAATAAATAAATACATTCAATATAACATTTTATAAACAACAAAATAAACTTAGAAATTATTTTAATAGGTAAATATAATTTTATGATTTAGTCTGATCTTCAAAGATATATACTAAATTCAATTAAATTTTCTAAGTACAAGGTGGAACAACGAAAATACCGAAGAAAATACCAATTAAAAAAAAAAATCAAAACTCAATAGTTAATACCATTATATACCACCATTTTATATCACTTTATTTAGTAAATATTGAGGAGTGGAATGATAAATTGATTGAAGAAAAATGGGTTTTGTAAAATTAAAAGGATGATATAAAACCTATCCATACACCAATAAAACCATGGTTAATCTTGTAGATTAAAAAAAAATAATTGTTATCATTGCTATAATTTTTGAAAAATATATTACTTATTATGTATACTTTATTCGCAATGAATTAATGTTATCAGTTAATAAAAAAAATAATCTATTACAAATCAATAGGTAGTAAGTAGTAGGTAAATGTACAACCCTACTAAGATTAGTTCATATGTATTGATAAAATATACAGATAAAAGCATAATTGTTGGATAAAAAGGATAAAATTAGTTGTTGAAAATTTTACAAGGCATTCAATTTTATTTTTAACCTCTAAACAATAAATAGAAGTAATAAAACAAAGTATAGGAATACGACATTTTGAAAATCTATCCTATGTCATTATTTTAAGTGTTAAATAAACATAAATTTTGAGTTCAATAGATCTATTTTAAAGTTTATCAGTGTTTGATACTTCACTATAAATATATTTTTAAATGTTTACAGGTTTATTTTGATGAAAAGTAAAAATATCAAATAATTCTAACACTTAATTTATCAAAAAAATAAATACATGTAATATATATATTATATATGTATATGCATATTATTTTGTTTTTTATTATTTAGACATCCAATCCACCTACTCAAAAACTTAAAAATCAAACTCTTATTTGTGATTGAAATCATCATAAAATATTTTGAACTATGAACCAAATTAAGATCAGTATAGTTAAGGATGTTCATCTCAATTTAATAGAAAAAAATATTTTTATAAGAGTTTTGGGGTTATATAGAAGCAAATTTGAATTACAGTGTACTCTGGATTATCCATGGAATAGGGTGGCATAGTTCCCAAAACCAGGGCCATTAAGAGGGAGGGGGCAACAGGACCATTTTACCCCAGGCCCCATTGTTAAAATATTTTTTAGGGTGCCTCATAAAGCATTGATGTATTATAATGTATAATTAATAATAAAGCTTCGATTACACTGAGAAATTTTACACACTGCATGTTGGCGATTAAAGTAGCATGCATGTAAGTGTGTAGCAACTTGTCTGATTACATTGAACGATTAAATTTTAAATAATATGAAATTGAATATTTCTCATAATTCAAAACATGAATAATATTAATTTCTATTATGTAAGTATGTAATACAGTACATGAAATTAAATGAGCTTGATTGGTTACGGTTTGAAAAATATGTTTGCAAGAATTTTGTTATTCTCAGTGAATATTTTGTTTATCATATCTTATTACTATGGTCGAAGGGCACCCACATTAATCTGCCCCTGGCCCCAAAAAACCTTGGGACGGCCTTGCCCAAAACCATAATATAATTATAATTTAGTGGATAATCCGATAAATTCAAATTGAAAAGAAAATTAAATAGCAACATATTTTATTTCTATTTCAAAATTCAAATTTGGCATATAGGTACTACTATTAACTTTTTGACAAAATCAGTAACAAGTTGTTTTTTGTTTGAAAACATTTAATTTTTCATTACATGAAAAAAATATTAATTAATACAACAATTAAATATAAGCCACAGTAAATATCTATATAATTAACACATCAGCCAAAAAAAAATTTCACAAAACTGTAATCGATAGAATTATGGTAATTCAAATGAGGTGAAATGTAGACATTTTATGTGGTAATTTGAGTTTGATAACATATTATATACTTAAAAGTATAGCTCAAAATTTAACAGATTAGGAAAATTTAATTTTTATCATTACATTAACATTACTGATCTTTCAATAGGATTATTTCTTCAAACCACCTATTTATTTACCATTAATTAGGTATAAAAATGTTATTGTAAATTACGAAATGATTATGAGTAACAAGAAAAAAAAAATCATTATTCACTTCAATAGTAAGAGCTAAATCGCTTGAGTTCCTGTACACGCATCAGAGAAAATCTATATCGTAATTTATAACGATACTTTCTGTACTTTAGTCACATGAAAACTAAAACAAACACGACGATAAATCATCCTATATAAAACGTAGAATTTTCGAGAATATTTCGCACGTTTAAGGGCCTTAAGATGTCGATTGGAGGGGAGGGGGAGGACCGATAAAACGGAAATGCAATATGTGAGCCGCGAAGGCGGCGTGGGCCAGGCACAGAAAATATAACTTAATCGGTCGGTCGGCGGTTTCTAGACGGACATATCGACACAAAAGCAACACAAATAGGGGAATAAACAGTAAATCGTGGTATAATTACCGGCCATTTTTGATGTTCACGTGGAATAAACGAGGTGTGCGAGGCTTCAATTATCCGATAAACGTTGTGGTCGGGTGTTCAGCTGCTGACTACGTATTGAAAGCGGCGTGTGGTAGTGACGGTAGTAGTGGCGAACGATATTCGCTAAACCGCTTCAAAACGGACGACGAGATAATGATGACTGAGCAATCCGGTGACGGTGAATAACGAACGGCAAAGAGATTGTTGCAACTATAGTACCGTGCAAACAAAAAAGTACACGGTTGAATGTTGAACGGTGCGTACGAAAACGTACGAGCAATAGTGTTTTGTGTGTAAAAATGACAGGAAAAATCAAAATAAATAAAATAAAAATCACGATCTCGGATGAGCGGCGGCGGCGTGGACTCGGCGGCGAAAAGTTCGGAGCGTCAAAAGTCGGCGGCGGTGATGCTATACTGTTGACGGTGATGTGCGCTGCGATCCCGTCGGTTTTTGTCGCATAATACGATTCCGTGGAGAATACCGAAGTCGCCAGCGACGACGGAAAATCACACGACGACGAAACAACACCGCCAGTCCGTGCAGCAGCGAACTAGCACACGCCAAACACTGTAGCGCAAGCGAGAAAGGGGGAAAACGGAAAAAAAAAAGTCGCACGGACGGGACCGCTACGACGCGACGTGCGTGCGTGCGCGTGCGTCGTGGACGATTCGGACTTGTACAAAATTTCACGTACGCAAACTACAGGGCACGCGGGCGGGCGACTGTGGTGATGACGGCGGAGTGCATTGACTTTTTTTGTTTGATCGTGTTCGACCCGGCAACGCAGCGACCGCAGCGTTGCCAAAATCAACACGGCGCGTCTGTGTCCCGTGGCGGCAAATTCGTATTTCGTTCGATTCTTTACTTCGCTGCCGGAGACGGTTCTTCAACATCTAACCCGAACGCCATTTGCACTGTTTTGTTTACGCTCGTTGAAATTCGAAACGGAAAATAAACGTGTTCACGTCGATGTAAAAAAAAACGAACGAAAATCATAGAATCAGTACATAATACCAATAACATTTGGAGGGAACCGTCGAAAATTGTGTAAATGCATTGAATTGTAATTGTATTTTGATGAAGGTATTATGCTTAACAGATAGCCCTTTTGCCAATAGTTTTTTGCAATAGTCAAGTGCTTCTGAAAATAAATATTCAAATACTATACTGTAAACTTAGTACTTTATAGCTTTTATAAATCATACATAGTAATTGCTCGTGTTTGCCTACCACATCGACGATCCCAAAAGATTACGCCTCACATAACTGACAGTTCAATAAAAAGCCGTATATTTATCACTATTTCCAGAGTGTACATTCTATTCGGACGAAAAATCAACAGTTGCTGCTGTACACAGTTTATTTTATTGTTAACTTTATTACTATTCAAAATAAAATGGCCACCATTGAACGTTTTTGAAATACGACCCTGGTAGATCAACACTGAAAACCGCAAACCGATATCGCTAATATAAAATAATATCATTGAATCGAAATTATAAATTATGAAAAATGATGAATTTGTTACAATAATATCTACTATATAATATATTCTAACATCAATGGTAGTAGACTAGAAGCAAACTAATTTAGTAGTGATGTAGTGTGCTATCAAATTATAATGGTCGGCATAAAATAGTGTGAATAATATAAAATCAACAGATGATAATCGATAATCTTATTTCTGGTTTCTGGTTGTTTTTTCGAACTGCAATAATTATTATTTATATAATATCACTACCGATAACGACGACGCGTCGTCGTCGCCGTACCGATTACAGTTGTTTCAGTAGTGGAGTGGGGGTTTTAGTTCACCGAACGAACGCTAGTAACGGGAACAGCGCTCAAAACAATGATGAATATTTGTATTTATCATAAAACATTGTTAAAAACTGTTTTACGCGAACATTCATAATAAATTCATGAAATTCTCACCATGTATTAGGGAGAATTTTATCTGTGATGTAGGGTTTTTATTTTTTTCATATTTTGACTCAATTTAGTTTTATAAGATATTTAAAAACATGTAATATCATGCATATTTGAGCTTTAATAACTCCTTTCCTAATTATTTTAATAAAAAAATAAAAACACTGCGTCACAGAAATAGTTATCTTCTATATTGTGTAAAAATTTTGAATCCCTAGGGTGATTATAGCTCTGATAAAACATGTTCGCGTGAACTTTGTTTTTGGTCTCAATATTTACGTGTGTTGCATCCTCTTAACCTCTGCACACGACGCGTGTTCCGTATTTTTGTTCGTTAGCATCCTCATTACTTTTTGTTTTTAACTCCGTTATGCCCACGCGAAGAGCTATCTTTTATTGTTAAGTTTATCCAGTTCAATCTAATAAAAGCTCTCGCCATTTTTGTTACATTTTAAGTATTGGTATTTGCTTGTTATTATCCTTGTTGGGAAATCGTTGTGACGCTCCCACGATTTTTTCACACTTACTATTTAACCAATATCCTCTAATCAGTGACTGGCGTTGTAGATAGTATTAAGAAAGAAATTACTAACCATGTTTTCTAGATGAATTAATTTTGATAAAATTATTATCATTTTATCAATATTCAATTATTCAATTAAAATGAGCATAATTCTAATATTCCCCTTAATCAGCTTCAAATTTAAATTGGAATTCCAAAAACTATTTTCTTGTTTTACATCAGAAATTAAAATTACAGAAGGAACATCATTAATTATTTCCAATTAAATTCAACTTTTCGGAGTTCATCAATAAAATATTGAAGTAACAGGTTTTTTTTGTGGGTGGGGGCAACTGCCCCCCTTATGACCCCCTCCAAGTGCCGCCTATGCCTCATATTATTAAATTTACATAATATGTCCAGTTATAAATCATGTGATACCTACCATATTATGGTAGTAGTCAAAAAACATGTCAGGATATTTTTTCAAATTATTTTAAAAATATTCAAAACGCATATCTTGTTCTCTGCTAGTATGTATTGGATGAATCCAATACCTTCTGCACTTATGTACTGGTTCATCAAGTTGACCAGCAGCTTCAACCACACAAATAATTTCAAGAAAAGAGCTCATTTCTATGTATAAACAATACGAATATATTGTGTTCATACATTTTTTAAATTATTTTTAGATATAAAAACATTTACCTGATATCAAATGTTTTTCTTAAATAATTAACTATATGAACACAATACAATATAGAATCAAGTGAACTCTTTTATTACACAAAACATACTGAACCAGACCCGTATTAAAAATTTTGCGCTCTGGGCATATAATTTATGCCCCCACACCAAAAAAAAAAAAAAATAAATAAATAAATAAATAAATAATAATAATTTAACACTTATTATTTCGTCCATAATCGAGATTCTGTAATATTAAAATATAACATACAAATTAAATTCGTTTAATACTTTTTTTAACTAACAAATTAAACAAACTATAACATAATAAAATATAGTTTTCATTTTTTTTTAACTAACAAATTATAATAAAATAAAAATACAATATTTTTTTAATATAAAATAACAACCATGAACGTTACAATCCAAAATGTACTAATGTTGCACAATTTGCGGCAGAGAATGTCTTTCGAAAATACAGATCCACGTACGAGATTGTTTGAAAAAAAATCCAAGTGATGCTTAATTGAGTACACGTAAGTTTCATAGTTAATATTTTAAAAAATTCTTGTATTATAATATCATTTTTTAAACTTACATTTATTACTAGTAGAATAATTCGATTTATTTACATTGTTCTTTTATTTTTTCCTTATATTTTATTGTTAACTTTATTCCTATTCAAAATAAAATGGCCGCCATTAAACGTTTTTGAAATACGACCATGGTTACTAGTAGATCAACACTGAAAGCCGTAGACTGATATCGTTGCCGGCTGTGAGACTGGGGCTGATAAAAGATAACGAATATGATAACGATTATTCTCGACAAATTTAAACTTCAATCCAAGTTTAGTTTGTTCAATTAATTTTTTTGAATTTGACGGCATGTTAAAACTAACAAACGCCTTAGGATCGATAATTGTAACCTCTCTGGAGCACAGACGGGTTTCCAGTTGTATAGTTGGTGCGTTGGAATGTCGCCGGACGGGTATAGAATTTTCCCCAAAACGGCTATCTTCCACATTTTTTGGTACAACCGCTAACTCCCATCACTCTACGGTCAGCTTTTTCGTTACCCGGAGTTACGCCAAAAGTAAAGACAAGAAATCAAACAAAGGTACCTGATAAGATTCGAATATCTATTGATTCTATAAAAAAATTGTACACATCGTTTTTTTATCCTTTAACTTTTATATGCTTTTACTGACTGAAATATTCGCTGTGCAGTACCTTAGAAGTCCATTTATGTTGATCTGGCTTGATTTGATTTTCCAATAATTTGGTCGATGTAAATGATTTGTGAGAGACAATAAGAATAACCAAAATTTGATACTAATTCATTATTTAATAATGAAATAGTTTTAATCTTATTCTTGTAATCTTAAATATTTATTTTTAAATTTATAATTCTTCAATGAAATGGAATTCTTATAGCATGAATGTTATTTTTACTTATTATCCTATAGATTTTAATTTTCTTTTTTTATCGTTATATTTTATGACATTTTTTTTTAGGTCAAAAAAAGGTAACCATTGATGAAAATCTTTTAGCAAAGCACCTGAATTACAATGTCATGAAAACTGAAATGGAAAAAGCAGTGGTATCATTAAAAAATAGCTATATTAAAAACTTATCACTAAGATCTTCTACAGGTAAAACATATGCAAGTTTTTTTTTTTTTTTAATTTATCACATTTCTATGTTAGTATGTACTTTACATAATTATAAACATTCAAATCAATTATATTTAATAGAGAACTTTTTTGGTGATAATTTTATATTAGTTTGTAACATAGGTACTTTTTTCAAGGTTTCTATAATATTAATTTTTTTAGTAAAATTTTTATTTGTTTTTGATTAAAATTATTAAGATATTGCAATTATTTCCTATATGCCAATATTAGAATAATTTGCTACATAAATTTTAGTGTATATAATTTTCATATATTAATAATTAATATTGAGTTCATTAAAATGCATTTATAACTTTGAACTTAATGTAAATAGTAATGGTTTTTATTAACTCTAAATTCTGCTCTTTAATAAAAAAAAAAATTCTAAATTCTATTTATAAATAATAACTACTTAAAAAATGGACTATATAAACATTTTAATGCTTTAAAGTACTCACTTATTACTTAAAATACTTACAAAATTAAATTATTTATATAATTTAGTTATTAAAAGATAACTCATTTTTAGGAGCATTGGATTCATTACCAGTTAAATTTGAAGGAGATGAATATGTTATACAAGATTTAGCCCAGATTCTTAGAAAAAATCCAAAAACTATAATTTTAAACATGTCATCATTTCCACAAGCGATTCCAGCTGTTTTGGAATCATTAAATTCTTCTGGTATGAATTTAAATCCTCAACAAGATAAGACTTCTATATTTATACCAATACCTAAGTAATGTATGATTATCATTAGAAAATTTAGAAAATTACTCATGCTAATTTAAAATTTCAGAGTTACAAAAGAACACCGAGAAAATTTAAGTAAAGGTGCGAAAGCACTTTTTGTTAAAAGTAAAGATATCATTAAAGGAATACAAAATAAAAATATAAAATCACTTAAAGACAATGACACTTTATCAACAGATTTAGTTCACGATTTACAAAATCAGGTATTTAAAGTAAATTATTATTTATTATTTTTTTCAGTATAATTAAATTTCAGTAATCAACAAATATAAGCTATTTATAAATATATCAAAAATATAAAATTTTGATTCTTTTCCATGATGTCAACTACTTTATTGTAATATGCAATACTAGTTAAGTTATGTAAATACTATGTTTACTATATTTTGCCTTCACAAAAATAACCCCTAGTTGCTGTCATCACTCTTGGATCTACTAATTATTGATACTATTGATTTGAAAATTTACAATTAGACAACTAGTAGAGAAGTTTTGGGAAAAGAAGAAAATATTTTGCTTCTTGTTTATAAATTTAGAATGACAGAGTGCCAAGAGAAAAGTTTTGAAGTGGGCATTAATGAGAAAGGAGGTTCCAAAAAAAATACATAAATTTGATTCAGGATATGTATGAAGGCTCGAGAACTTGTGTAATCAGTTTGTGTAGAGTAACAGAAAATTTTAACGTAGAAGTTGGTTTGCATCAGAGGTCGATTCTAAGGCCTTATTTGTTCCCTGTGGTAATGTGTGGAGTTATTAAATACATACTGGATGAAATACCATGGTGTATGATATTTGCTGATGATATAGTTTTGGCAGGAGAAAATCTGGTAGAAAAATGATTGGAGGTTACTCCTTGATAGAAAAGGATTGACAATTAGTAGAAAAAAAAACAGTACATAGAGTATAACTTTAGAGGAAGATACTAAGATATTGAGGGTACGAGGAGACCAATGACAATAAGTGGTGATGTAATAGGTGAAGTCGAGAACATTAAATATTTAGAGTAATTTGTACATAAGGACAGGGGTTTTGGAATGGATGTAAAATATAGGATTATATATCAACAGAAATATATATTTTTTTGATGGTACCTCATGGTATTTGTAATTACATATTACATTTTTTGAGAAATATTATGTGAAATTAAATTACTTTATAGAATTAAATAATGTTTCAAGTTAAAATAATTGTTATGTAAGGTTATTAATATTATTTTATTAATGCAATATTTTTATGTAGATTACTGCATTGGCCGATAAATATGTATCCGAAGCTGAACGAATAATGGAAGAAAAACAAAATGAACTTAAGGGTGACTCATAATATTTGTTAATTTATTAAATATATATTACGTCTATGGGGTAAATTATGGTTCTTGAACTCTATGTAACCTAAGAATGATAAATTTACTTTATTTACTACTAATATGAGTATAATACATGTTATTTTTTAGTTAAAACCAGTTTTCATGTTATATGAATCATCATTAATGTACATTTTATGTTCATTAAAAATATATGTATGTATATGATAAATATGTTTTTATTCTATTTTGATAACCCCCAACAACGGAATTTTTGAACATGTTCTAATATATTTTGAATAAACATTATTTTATCCACTGTTATAATAATTATAATTACAATTATTGTAACGAAATTATAATGATACTACATATTATAAGTATACATTAAAATTAAACATTAATTCAACAATTTGATTAAATTGAATCTGTAGATTTTTGTGGAAAAAAAAATAAAATAAATATTTACATACTACATACTATATACTAATACAGTGTTCAGGCTATTTTTAATGTCTATAAACTTTATAAGTTCCAAAAATAATATTGATACAAAATTCACCATCGGTAATGAATTTTTTATTACATAATTTGTTTTGTAAAATAGTTCAAACTTCAAAGAATAAAGGTAACAACATTTTATTTTGCATTTGAATATGCATATTGATAAAACCATTTGAAGGATCTCTCGAGTTCTTGGAAATTTAAACATTTTATAATCAATTGACATTGTTTACTTAGTATTTGAATTCGTTTAATGCGCTCGTAGACCTTGAAGGTTCAGTTGTCTACGTAGATACTGGGGAGCGGGCAGGTGCTGTACGTAAGATACCGTCATTGAACCCCAACTTGTGCTCGACTCCACAGTATTAGCATTCAAAACGTTCCGCGGGAAAAATGTTGTGTGTACGACTGTGCGAGAGTGCTACAACGTATTAAGTTTGAAATCGAACATACCGAATTGGATTCGGATAACTTGTAAGTACATTAATATTTTAACGGTGCGTTATATTCCACTTAAATACATTTAATTGTAAATGACTACTTCGCAAACGATAAATCTGTACATTTCAAGTGCCGGTAATCACCGAAAAGTGTACCGCTGTGATATTCTGTCGATAATAAAGGTATATACATAAATGTATAAACGTATTGATGAACTATTATTTTTCGGTTTTAATGTTTTTACACTACGTACGAATAAGACCTATTCATATTTTTATTAGCAATTACGAACGTATTTATGACGGTTGCTTATGGTATAGATGTTCTAAAAAATGTTCTAGCGAATATTGCAATTCAATAAATTGCGTTTACGATTTCGCTGATAAATGGATACTTATACTATATGGGACCAAGCTTCACGTTTTCAGAAATATGATAACACGTTCAGGCAATCGATTCACGTATACGGTTATACGGGTAAGGTTAACGATTAATGAGTCATATATATAAAAAAAAAAAAAAAAAAAACGAACAACCGAAAGAACGAACCCGACCAATTTCAACGTAGTACCGTAGTTTAACTAGCGGCCGCACACCGATTTACATTAGACCTCGCCGATGTTTACGTTTTCTAACGAAACCTAACGAAGTCCGACCGCAATAGGTGAAATGCAATGACCTGTTGGGTATTACCGAACCGTGCGCGTAGGTTACGGAGCGCGATTCCAATAAATATTTTTATTTTCACCTTCAGTGATTTCCTAGCATTTCCACGTGTACAACTTATAGGTCATTGCTGGAATCGACTCCGGAGGCAATGACATGCGAAATTGCCGGGCTACCTGTATCTGTATTGTGATCCGGTGATTTGCAGATTCCGGGGAAAAACATATTGGTTCCCTCTTCCCTGTTCCGTTTGCAGCGCAATAAATTATACGAACAAACTATTCTCCGGTGTCGAACAATGCGTTACTAACTGCGCGGCAGTGTGATAGTGGTGTAGATCGTACTTATTGAGATTTCAAGCGTTACTATGATTTGTCGAGTTTGAAGGTAAGACATGCCAATGTACCTACTATTTTGTTTCAAACTTTCACACACGCATTATCTGAATATCGTATTGCACACGGTTCTAACCCTATGATTATACCGATTTCCATAGTAAAACACCGAACACAAACATTATTCGCTAACATGTACCTGTATTTGTTTGTGTCCAAATAACCTAGTGTTAACGTAACATCAATGACAAAAAAAAAAAAAAAAATTGATAAAATTAATTAAGTAAATGATAAATAAATTTACAAACCTAAAATAATTGTACAATTAATATAATCTGTACATAATTTGTACGAGGTTATCATCTAAAATTTAACTGGAATTTTAAATTTATTAAAGTTCTACTAAATATTGGTATCTTAACGGTAACAACAATAAAGTTTCTAATTTCCGATGTATAATTGTTTTTAACTAATATTTTACGTAGTGGGTATGTACCTTTTATTTTTACGGTGTAACCGATGAAAAACTTGAGGGATTATTTGTACATGTTCTAAGCAGTAGGCACTAGGTATCTGTAACAACTCTACAAAGTATTATAAGGTTTATACTCGTATAATAATATAATGCTTTCTGTTACATTTTATTATATGAATACATAGTTTATTAAAATTAATTTAAAATTAGATATCGACAAAGTAAAACACAATACTTGGATAACATTCCAATACCTACCATATAAGCTGTATAAGCTTTAAAGTAAAAAAAAAAACCGTTTTCCTTGGAACGGTTAACAATATAATTTCAAATTTAAATCTAGTTAAATGTTCATTTTTATCCTACATTTTTACATTAGGTACACCTAATATATTGTTGTAAGACGAAAAAAACTTAATATGTACATACAATTTTACGTCATGGACGGTCTATTAGTATCGTTTATTTTACACTTCACATTTACGTAACACTACCGGTTTCATAATAACCCTTACTTGTTAGTATTTTTTGAGAAATGCAAATGAGTCATATTTTGGTAGTTTTTGAGCCCACTACATGTCGGTAGTGGATTGAATCAGTAGGTTAACCAACTAGACGTTTTTATCTTCTATTGAAAATCGAACCTCGTCTATGTTCATTTAAATTAATTACAATATGGTTTTATAAAAAATAAGTGAATACAGAACGATCAAATGAATCTGATTTTCATTTTGTGTGTTATTGTTCAACTCAATAACTCAAGTTTTTTGTAGACTTTTTGATGAGAAAAAAATCGTATTTATATAAAAACATATATGTATTATATATATGCACTGCGAGTACGAATAATAAAATACATCTTGTTGATTATTAAAATGTGAAATTCTATCTAACTAAAGGTTACTGTTACCTTGTCCTTCAATAGTTGTAATTTTAATTTTGAAATATGTATATTATTGCCAATTTTTTTAACATTTAGGTGTTCGATAATACATTTTAAACATATTTTAATAAATTTATATTATAACATTTAACAATACAATAAAATAAATTAGTTAATTTAATGTGCGTAGTACCAAAGTTTTTTTGAAGCTTATTTTTCTACCTTCTAAATTATAAGTTCGATTCATATATTTATAATTTATTATTGATAATATTAGAATCTGATTGTTAAGTAATTACTTTCATATATTATTTATAAAACCTTACATTTTAATTTTTTTTTCACGTCGGAATTATACAAAACATGATGACCTCTTTGCGCAAACTTCACAATATCATTTTACAAATACTCATACCAAACCAAATTAAGTATAAATTGTATAATATATTTATCATATATAACCCACTTATTTTACCTAAATTTTTATTTTATTTTATTTCAATAATATACGATTTAGTTAATAGAATCAATAGTGCAATCATATGACTATGTAATAATGACTGTATATAATGGATTTATAAAAATTTATACCATTAATAAATGTACCATGTAGAATTGTAAAAGAAATATTGAAAAATCATTAACTAGGTGTATTGCATAAAAAAAATGAAATTAATAATTATTGTTAATTTAATGCACACAATTCTATTAACTTATCTATTATTGTTTAATATAATTTAATAGTTTCTTGATATGATAATTATTGATAACGAGTTTTAAGAATTATAATGTTTATAGGATTTAATCAATTATTAGAAATTAAATCCGTGTAGGATACATACAGAGCGGTCAATAATTTGTGAGTGCTTTTTATTGTATTAATTCGTTTACTACTGAGAACATACTACGACCACTATGTATATAAATATTATATACATTTATAAGCTAAAGTACATTAATCATTTAATATTACTTCAAAAATTAAAAGACAGAATAATAATTATTGTGACCTGTGAACAATTTAACTTATGCAACCATAGGTACTATCAAACTTTAAATATATTTAAATACTTATCTATTGTAGTTAATATATTTATGCATATCGGTAATGGGGAAAACTAACCTTGTGTTGAATATGATAAAATTACTTGATATGTGATATAACGTTGAAGTCATAATGTGTATGACAGGTAATAATAGTATGTTTTTATTAATTTTTAATCAGTTTAACGATAGTATGAAAATTACCTTTTTCTTGGTGTATAACATCACAATTAAGTATTTTAAATTTTTAACATTTAGACAGACAACTATGGTTTTACTTTATCATTTTTTACCGTTTTCATCAAATCAATTATAACAATAATAAAACTATTTTTCTAACTATAAATAAAACGATGTATAACTTTTTTTTTAATGTAACTTTTTATTGATTTGCATTACTGTCGTGCGCCCAATCAAATGGTTGCTTATCGTATAACATTTTTGAAATGATGTTGTATATTTGTCCAGGTAATGATGTTTCAAGGATAACTGATATAGATCTCATGCTATGTGCACAATACACTTTAGGCAAGCCATTATTTATTATTGTTTATTTTTATTATAATATTTTTAATTTTATCAGATTTATATCTATATTATCAGACATCAACTATATAAGAGCCGTTTTTTATTATTGTTTATTTAAAAACAATTATTATACTGTACATTGTACCATATGTGTACTATTACTATAAGACATAAGTTATAACATACATACCATATTATTGTGATGGTTCTAATTGATTAAATTAACTAACTCAATCAGAATTGTTGAATATATTTTATTTGTTTTTAATTGTCGATCTGTATGAGTAAATTAATGCATTAATGTAGAATACTGTACAATTTCGATTTTATTTTGTTAAATAATATTTTTACTTAATTGAATTCGTTTCTATTTTTCATTAATTTCTAAAAAGAATACATCTTAATAAAAACTAATTAAAATATACTGGATGTTATGCACATGATAAGCCGAGAAATTAACTTATTTCATTAAAATGGACTGAAAAAACTTAAGAGTATTGATTTGATGAGAGGATATGGCACATTTTTTGATTGTTTAGTTAAAATTTCTATCAACTATCATGATGTCAGACGTGAGAGGAGATGACACATTTTTTAATTGTTTAAGTAAAATTTCTATTGACTATCATGACGTCAGGCGTTATCTGATCTTTGTAGATTTTTTTTTTTTTATTATATTCGAAATCTTATAATCATAAGTCTATTAAAATTGATAATATAAAGTATTTAAGTATAAAATACCGGAGATGACACATTTTTTGATAGGGCATAAATGGTTTAGATATGTAATGAGAAGATAAAAATATCAAGTCGCAACGGAGGGAGACATTGGAAGTCCAAATTCAATCAGTTCACGGAAAATATCTCGATTGATTTAGTAATGAAAAAATGTATAACGTTTACCTGTAGGGCTCGAAACTATAAGCATAACTAGTACACTTATAGACATTTTAGATTTTTGCTTAGAATACATAAACTTGTAGTTTTCTTAGTTCAATTACACATTTTACATTGTTATTCAGCACATTTAAATAAAATTTATTCTCTGATCAATAATCAAATTTATTAACTTTACGTTTATTTAAATTCATTATTGTAGGAATGTGAAATCTTAAAAAAAATGTACAAGTTAAGTTTATTTTAATAAGTTATTATTTCTTCTATTTTTTTGCATATCAATTCCTTTTTCTTCGTTATTAATTTCACCTAAATTATTTTATTTCATTTTTTTTAGCCTATTTTTAAATGCAAAAAAATATTAAGACGGATATTGAATTACATACGAGTATGTATGCATATCATTAAACGATTTAAACTTAATAAATTCTCAGTCTTGGTTGTAACTGCAGAAGATTTATGCAGTTGAACCGTTTCCCAGAAAAAATCTTGTCCACGTTATTTATTGTACGACAACAGCATGGATTTATTTTCATTCTTGGGCAATACTGTCTTCTTATTAATTGTTTATTTTGAACACCTATATTATTTGTAAATATGAGTGTATACTATGCTGCTACTATGCTTTTCTGCAACTTTCCTTTCTCGCGTAGCTATTATGCGTGAGCAATATTAAATGTCTCACAAATATTTACATTCATTATCGTACACTACCACACATATACTTGTTAATAATAAACAATAATAAAGGTCATGTAACGGGACATATTGTTCTTATTTTGAATGAAACCAAAATATAAAGTACATATGAGTATAATAAACAGCTTATTATTATACTGAACTAGAATTAGAATCATATATTATTTACGTGTACCTAAAATTTTTATTGCGAAAAGATTTTTGAAAAATATTGATATTGAATATTTGGTATATTGTAATTGTAAACATAGCCTAAGAATTATATTTAATATTTAAACAGAAACTACTTGGAGTTATCGTAAAATATTATTGAGAGTAGATGTATAAAACAGTTAAATACTGTATCAAAAGCGACCCTATTATTTTATTTAAAAGATAGTTTTAAATGTATAAACTTCGAATAACCATAATATGGTATATTATAACCATCGAAATCACTTAAGTACTTTGTACTTGTATACTTTAAATTATAAATTGTAATGGACTTACATATAATTATGATTTCGATTATAATTTTTAAAAAAAAAATGTACAAAGATCAGATAAAGTCTGACGTCATGACAGTCGATAGAACTTTTACCAAAACAATTTCTTATGAATAAGAATATGAATATTAAAATTCTATTTACGACTTATTGTATAAACTTCTAGGATAAACACATAGCAGGTGTTAGTTATCTAAGTCTAATAGTCATATTTTATAATGAACAAGTGTTTATATGTGCGCATGTAATGTATAAATGTATAAATGATCATTAATTATTTTTCTTTTGCTTTGAATCGGCAGAAATATTAAATGTTTTAAGATCATGTATTTATGTTTTATAAGAATATCGAAGACGATCTTATGCGATTCAAAATGTTAAAAATCCGTTTTTTTTTTTTTTTGTTTCTACCTGGCCAAACTCTTTAGACGCGTGTGGATGAAATCTATGGATACTCGTATATGCGCGTTCGTCTATTCTGTAACGAGTTTGCCTTGTCGTACTGGTATACATTATAGGTTATGATGGGCGGCGCAAGAACACCGATATCTCTTGGTACATAATAATATGATCTTTATATAATTAATCGAATCGACTCGCATGCAGTCTATGCGTGGGGTGTTACGATTGTTGTATTCGGCCTCCAATTGAACTATGAAAAAAAAAAAAGTAACACAATTGGGACAACTTTGCAGCGGTCTACATAGGTACTATTACTGCACCGTCTTTTGGTGTAAACAATTTTTTTAAGCACACGTCTCGTCGTCGTACGCTCTTTCTGTGACCATAAACGCGAAAACGTTGCGGATTACTCATGGACTCGTTTTTTTTTTTTTTTAATTGTTTTTTTATTGCACGTATACTAAAATACTAGAATATTATGCCCACACACTTGTCATCAGCCACTTGTTACGCACTTAATTGACATCGTCGTATCGCGAGATACACATATTATCATACATATACAAAATAATGTACTCGTTGTACGGAATGAACTTTTTCCCATTTTTTTTCGTACGATATGTATTCATCATCCGTATCTCTTCATACGGTGTTTGATGTCTGGCGCGAGCGTGTCTCCGTGTTTCCTCTTTTGTTTTTTTTCTTTGTACCGAATTGTGACACTGCAATATTATTTAATCCGACGACAAATTAAAATCAACTGGTAATCGGTCACCGCGGTGAGTTCAACAACAATCATCATAAGTTAAAAACTGTTTCTTCGGTCATTCATAACATTTTAAAATAGAGTTAAAAAAAAAAAAAATTGTATTTATTTTAAATGTAATTTAATTGGGATTTACAACGACGGTATGCCGCTAGAGTTAAACATACATTAAATCTATGAATGACTGATTGTTAAACACTTAACATAATAGCATCTACAATGATTTCTGGTAGGCGGATTATGCATGATCTGAAAGTATGATGAACTGTTAAATTTATCAAATATTAACGCATGCCATTGCAACTCATCATTAACGTTTTGTTGTCAACCGTATATTCAATAACATGAACAATACCTTTAAGGTATTTTTCGTAAATATTTCAAGCAACATGCATTTTATTTAAGTAGCTAGTAAATACAGTATTAACAATAGGTATGTATAGAGCATTATAGCTATACATTTTTACAAAATGTATACTCAAAATATTAGACTTCTCTTTTTTAATCATATTGATTTCTAGTAAAATATAATAACGCTTGAAATATTCATAATAATACTCGTAATTTGGTTCCTTCTGTACGTTATATAATTAAGTCCAATTTCAATCACATAACAGACAAATCGTTTTGTTTCATAATTTATTTATTAAAATATATACCTGTATAATACGTTGTATTATTATTATTATTATTATTATTATTATTATTGAATTACATTTTTTTTCTTCGTACGATAAATTTGAGTTAAAATAAAAAAATAAATAAAAATGTTGTGTTCAAGGTAAAATATGACTACGCAGAATAAATGGGTAAGAGCAACGAATCTTGTGAAGACCAGAATTATGGCGCCGGACAATGCAAGCAATCGGTTCAGTGGGTCAAAGCTACTGGCCGACTTGAAGAACGGTCAAAGCCTTTCCAAATGGGATCCCGAGCTATGCCTAAAGATGTTACAACTACCTGGCGTTGACAATTATTTAGCGATCAAAAAGATGTTAGAAAAAGCCGACAAGTATGTTACCATAATATGTATATGTAATATTTATTTATCATTTTTAAATGGCACTGTTCCTCCAATTGCTCTGTTCGTTTTGAACGAATGCTATTACTCGTGAGTTTTATTATTCGTGTATTCGTGGACTGCGATAATTATAGGATATGAAACGTGGACATTTCACACTAATTTACAACTATTTCAAATTAAGTACATAGAACGAACTTTCCTCTTTGCATATCTACCGAACAATTGACCGTTTCATGGGCAGAGAACCGTTTTTGTCATTTTGAAATCATTGCACTGTTTACACATACGGTTTTGACTGGACGGCAAAAATTCGATCAACCACAACCAAATCAATACACGGTTCTTGCACGGTTTTTTTGTCGGTCCCAAGTTAGTCCCAAGTATACTTTTGTGCGTGTTAAGTTTTATAAGAACACTCCAGTAGTGCGTTAACAAATAATTACACCATGGTAGTACAGTCGTCGCCTCAAAGACATCAGAAAAATCGTATTTCTTGGGTACATCCCATTAATGATAGGAAATAGGAAGTGAGCTCATTTAATACATTGTTTACGAAAGTATAAAAATAAGTTTCTTTTTAATATAATTTGTCCCACAACATCGGTCTGTCTAGTACGAGGGTAATTATAAATTCTACATAGAATTTTGTCATTTTTTTAAAAAAAAAAAAAAACTGAATTAAACAGGCCAAAGTTTATCGCATATATTCCAATTCTACCGTACAAGTAAGGTCGTATAATATGAAAACATTAATTTGATCGGGTATGCCACCAAGCTTATCGCGTCGTCCATCTGTAGTGACACGGCGCCGGTATTTTGCCGTAACGGTATAATATAGTGTATATGCTCTTTATTACTCCATTAAAATAATGCCATCGGCCGGTCAGAACCGTATAATGTGTTAGAGCATGTTCAAATATACAAGTAGTAACTTGAATTAGCTTAGAACATCTTAATATCTTGAATTGTTTTTTTTTCTTTCTTAATTACGAGTAATTTTTCAGTAATTCCGTAATACAATTTACTAAGCATAAAAATTATTTTGTAAATCTGAAGATTGTAGTATGTTCTATTTTTTCTTTCAATAATTATTCATACACTATCAAATATTTAGAATAACTTGTTTATTACATTGAACGGCCATGAATCCGTAAGTAATTAAGCTAGGGAAAACCACAGAACTTTTCAAAAAGTAAATCCAAATGAATCAGTCATGTGATACTGAAATGTATTGTTAATATTTTCTAGAGTAGCGAGTGTCTCACTTGTCTCCTAACTCTAAGGGTGCCCATGATAATTATTTATTACATTTGTACTCGTATATAAATAAAGAGTATGTATGTGTAAAATATACAATATATATATGTACATATTAATTTACAAGGTCTTTTAGGAATTTTTAATTATTTTTTGTATGATTATTATTTTTATATTATTTTTTTATTGCATCATAACTATATTTTGGCCTCAATAAGAATTTTATTTTAATTTATTTTATACTATCAATAATTGCATAAATTATGAAAAATTCCTAAAATAAGAAAATAAGATATAATTTTCTGAATAAATATTCGATAAGTCTCATGAATAAAATAGTATTACTTAAATATTTATTTCACAGATGTTGTTTCTGTTCAATTTTTTTTCGAGTACTTATGTATTTGAAATACTTTAGCTTTCACTGCACATTTTTTATTTTTATAAATTAAATGCATCATGATAAAGTGTGATCTTAAACTATAATCATTTAGTAGTTATTTTTATACATAAAACCATTTATTATTTATCTAAATTACAACAAACTTATCCTTTTCTAAACACCTGATTTTGAGTTTTAAAAATAGCTAATTTTTTTTAAATAGTAAGTAACAAAATACAAAATGTATTAATTATAATGTATTGTGATTTATAAAACTTGTATGAATTTATTAACAACTCATGGGTGTATAACGACTTATGAATGCTTACAACAAATAATAATTACCAATAATATATACATATATAAATAAATATTGTGTGCTAAATTTTAATTATTTATAAATTCACATAATTTTTTTTTTAAGTAGCATATAATATTTGCCTATTTACCGTAATGTTACAATACAGAGACCCTAGCCTAACCTAACCAAACCTAACCTAACCTAACCTGATATAGAATCTAAATATATTTTAAATATTAATTGAAATATCATTATCGTAATAACAAACTTTTTTATATAATAACTATTCATTATAATATCCAACTGTAATCAATAAATTATTTGATTTCAATGATGGTTTAAGATAAATAGTACAAAATTAATTTACCATTGGCTCCTACATAAAGGTTATCAAGTAGTGCAATTGCAATTGTAGCCAAATGGGGTAGATGGATATTCAGTGATAATATAGATTCAAATAAACGATGAAGGAGAGCCAGAGAAAGTTATTATCGTAGTCATAGCTGCGTGGGTTCATTGTAAACCCAGGGACGACATTGATATATGTGTAAAATAAACTATAGTAGAGTATGAACTCAAACAATTTCATGTTATCAGTTTCGCTTCGTGTATCTCCTAGAATCCAATTCCACCGTAGTATTTTCAAATAATATAAAATTTCAGCGACCAAGGGTGTCCGGTATTTAGGGGTTTCACAGTATTATGTATTACCTAATGATTTATTGATTGCTCCGAATAAAATTAACTTACATTTTAAGTGTACACTATACACGATTCTAATATTTATATAAGAAATACATTTTGAGGTTAAAATACACGGATATAATTGTAGACAATTTTTTAGTAAATTAAATATATCGAACGAGGGCACACTAGGAAACAATAATGATGATTTATTCGATCTCAATAAAGTAATTACTCATTATTTATTATCAGAATTTACTTCCTACTAAGAAGTGTTCTAAGTTTTTTATTCGCGTCTGCCATGCAATACATATCTAATTAATATTTTAATTAAGATTAAATTAGACCTTCACGTTCTCTTGGTTTTTAACCTTTGGTTTACTAAAAATAAATGAACTATTATTACTAGGAAATAATACAAACATCTGTACAATACTTAATATTAAATTGCATATACAAGACCTTTTAAGGCAAATGATAATTTTTTTTTTTCGCAAGGTCTAACAATAATTATTTTTTTTTAAGTATTGTTATTCGAAAAATGTTTATCATATTATTTTCATATACATTTAACTAATACCATTTGTTCGTTGATTACTTATTTAAAACATAATAATTTATTTGTCTATGAAAATATATATATATTTGTATCTATATATTCGGTTTAATAGTTGATATTTTCATTTTTTTTATTTGTATTGTATAATCGAAAAATTAATTGATAAAAGAAAAATATAAAATACATGTATATTATAATATTTTTTGGTTTGCAGAATTCGCTTAGAGTTTATTATTTTTAGTTTGTCTACTAAATTACAAAAAAAATTCGTTTATTAAACACATTTATCAATTCAATTTTAATTGTTTCTTTGAATTACAAGATTCTTTTTTTAGTTTACAACTGTTTTTTGATTATGTGTATAATACCTTGAAAACCGGTGTCTAATTACTATCCTACGTTTACTCAACAATAGAATATTATCATAATTTTTTTGCTGTTTGTCAAAATGTAAAAAAAAATTAAGCAGTTAGTATTATTTAAAAAAAATTATAGTAATATATTTTATTAATTTAAGGCTGCTGAATTATGTTTTACCATTCATTCAATTTTTTATGGTCGTCTTTTTTCTTACAATTTCTTCTTTGTTTTTATAATTATCTATATAAATTTATGGATATTCAACATATACTCATATTAACCGTCATCTGATACTCAACAATAACCATCATAACTAGAAGATTATGAAAAAATAGCGGTTCAATTTTCGTATTTTAGGACACTACTCTAATGAGTGAAGATATATCGCTTAAGACGTAAACGAAAAAATAAACGTTTTGAATACATTTTTCATCCCATTGGAAAGAAGTATACATGTTTTTTCTCTCCAAAACTCACGTGATTACTGATTTTGGATTATTTCTTTGTACCGAATAGCATTAGAATAGGTCTATACGTATTATAGTTTACATATAGGTAGATGATCGGAAAAACTGAAAATATGATTGTCCCTAAGAGGTTTCAGAATCCTAAAAAATATCTCATGATGGCATTGCCTAGTCTGATAATAGTATTCAAATTAGGCAAACCCCTAGTTATTTTGTAAATACGTAAATAACGTTTCACGATATCTGTTAATCAGCATGACTTAAGTTCTGCGAATAAGTTATATGTAACACGATATCTCGTTAAACGAATCTATTTAATAACACTCTTACCATAGATTAAATATATGTCATACATTTAATCAAAGCTATTACTGTCTACATTAAATCCTATGAAAGTACCATTTATATAAGAAGTATGAATAATAATTAAATATCATAATTCAAAATGTACTCTTATTCCTTGTAATATAAGTAAGTACACATTACTTATGACCACTTGGAACGACTGTGAGATTCGAAAAGTATGATAATTAAAATGTAAATAATAACGAACAGGTTATTCGTATGATTCTTGAGATATATTTTAGAATGTATATTTACGTTTTATACGTAGTTATCTTGAAAATTGAATGCTTATGTAATTGTGTTGCAACATTTTCTGTACAAAATAGAAATAATAATTTTCATATTTTTATTTCATGTTATTATGTGATAAACTATTTAATAAACGAAAATAAAGTAAATTGTAAAATACAACCGTAGCGTATAGCGGGGATAATATACTAACCAGTATGGATGTCTGTTAAATCATTCTTTACTTATTTATTTATTTTAAAAGTTGAAGGATTTAATTTTCATAAATCTTTTATATTATAAAATACCAACAATTGTATACGAGTTATTATTATTATTATTTTTTTTTGTTACACTACGTAAATTATTAGACACAAATTTAGACAAAGAACATTTATTTACTTA